TATAACGCCCCCACGGCTGAAAGGGCGAGCATGTTTGGTGTGACAGGGATTCGAACCCGCGACCCTCACATTGCTAGTCGAGTGCCTTAGCCATCTGGCCATGCCGGGCCTTAGAAAGGAAGGTACTGAAAAGCACTGTTTGGGAATCGACTTATCAAAAAAAAAAATGTCTCTCTGACTCGCAGACTGGGTGTTAAGCAAATAATTATTCTCGTCAACTCTGAATAATAATTACGAAACATATTATAATAGTTTCTTTACACTGTTCTACAATCCCTGAAGTTTTAACAATTAAATAAATTTTATCGTTTTGTCAACGTTTTGAAATAAAACAATGAAAGACTGCTACACTGAAATACAACAATAAAAGACTGTAACAGTGAAACACAACAATGTCAGACTGCTACAGTGAAATACAACAATGGAAGACTGCTACTATAAAGTACAACACGACTCACAAGAAATCATAATTATAGTATTTGCTTTTTGCAAGAGTTCACATTCATGTATATGTGTACATTTATTTTTCTTGAATAAATATCCCAGACACTTGATACATTTGTGTTTTATTTTCTACTTAAAGAATCGAGAAATTTGGGAATTTCTCTGAGACGGGACACCTGACCTTAAAATCTCACACACTGGCATCATCCACAGGTTGACAGGTCTACCTATATTACAAATGATTAAAAAAATTTTGTTTTTCAAATTTCCGAAGCAAGAAGGAAATAACCAGAGCTAAAGCTTCAATGTCATTTAAATACCTTACAGTGTGTGTGTGTGTGAATATTAGAGTGTAACTGACATAAAGGATTGCTTAAATGTTTTTTTAAAGTAAAACGACGTTCAGTTTAAACTGATTTCTGTAAAAACGTATTAGGTAAATCTGCTTTATAATGATGTAATAGGGAGGATGAGTCGCGAAGTGACAACGAATTTGACTAAACTGGCTGAGTAGCTAAGAAAGTAAGAGACTGGACGCCATGTGTAACACAAAATGAGAACAATTTTTATTTATTAAATAAACAAAACATTGTGTGCATACTTTCATTAGATACTAAACTTTCGCATTTCACTGGAATTGTGAATTCATCAACAGATATTCTTTTCTCAAGACGTCTTCCCATCAACCAGCACACTTGAGATCCAGTGTAGACTGTTTAAATATAACGTTTCTCACTTAACGGAAAACGTCAAATTTACCTGTGGCGACTAGCGTTAATAACGTGACTGGTCATTCTCACTTAACATAGGGTAGGGCATAACCTCGAGATATCATCTGATCTACCAGTGAAGGGCACTACTGTTGTTTACATTCTTGCGCAACGTACAGAGTTACAACAACTCCTCCCATGGACAGAACAGGTATTACCTCTACAGAATAATACAGCAACAAAGGCAGTTAGAACAAAATCAAATTAACAGTTTTCTGGACCAAATATTATGCAAAATGTGCACAGACTTAGTATAAATAAAATAATTTTGTAAATCTCCATGATAAAATAAAAGGCAGAAAACGCATGGTATGTCTGCATACCAAAGTTCACAAGCACCTCAAAGATTAGCCCTTTTAAGTATTTATCGGCTTTCATACAGCTAAATGTAGACAGTGAGGCTCTGAGAGACATGGAAAAGCAGTTAAGTATGTCAAGAATGGTATCACTACTATTATTGTTACTTCTCTTTACAATTCGAATTTAATTAATATTATAGAATAGTAACAAAGTAATTGTTGTGGCTTTTTTCTAATTATCTCTCAAAGCTTTGAAGTGTTCTATAGTAATTTCTTAGAGCAATGATTATTGCAGCATTTCCTTTGTGGATATATGTGCTTAAAATGTGCCTGCTAGTGATAACAAACAACGAAGATTTAATTCTGCAATGTGTAGATGTAGGAAACGCGTTTTCGACAGTAATATTCTGTTACACCGTTACGAACTAAAGGAGGAGACCATCTATAATTAAACATGTTATTAAAATATCCACTGCTATACTCAAATCATTCTTTATTGTCAGTTCTCACTTTCATATCATTTTATAATAATTAACTGAACTTATAGTTTACTTATACTTCGTTTTCTTTCTCCTACAGCATATTCTTTGCCCATTTATCGGGACTCTTATTTCTGGTCTTCATTCCTAACATGCTTAATCCATTGCTTTACACGGGTAACTCTTCGAACCTAGTGCGGATTTTCCGTCGTTACGTGAGCACCATGCGTCACGTCCGCAAATGGTACGAAGGCGATATTTGGAATCCAGAAGATGCAGCTTATGAGTCAATAACAATTACTCGACGTATGCATAAAAATGTTGCCGATAGATTGAACGACAAAAGTAGGTCTACATCAACAGTCGATTCACATCCCAACATTCAAAAAGACTTGAAAACCCAGACAACCTGTCCATGCCAAGGAGGTGTTGCTATGTCTCAGTACGATATGGCTCTGACACAGTTCTCTTTCATCGGACTTATTGTGTTATTTCCTCAGTCTTTGGGGATCCACTGTTCACGGGAAGATTTGGAGAGCCTTGTACACTTCTGGAGAGGGGTGGGTTATCAGCTGGGACTTGACAACCGTTTCAACATCTGTGATGGAAGTCTGGAGGAAACAGAAGCTATATGTCGAGAAATTATGAATGCCGTTTGGAGACCGAAAATTAAGTCACCGTTGCCAGAAGCCATCCAAATGAGTAAAGACATAATTCAGGCCATGAGCGTAGTCGTGCCATTTCTGACTTGGACTGCCATGATGAAGTTTTGGTGTCGTTTGCTGGATATATCATTCAAGAAAAAGACCACTTATTACGTGTCCATTTGCTATTGGCTGATGTATGTTGCCTTTCAAATCCTGCTTAAATTCTATGTGTTTAGAGTATTTTTTAACACTATGATCAAAATTGCTTATTGGAGGACGGTAAAATGGCAAGGTCACTTAGAAAAAAAACTAGAACGAGTAATTATTGAAAACAGCGATGACCATAAGAAACCAATTTTGTGAGACGGATGGCTCAATTTAGGGTTGAGTTTATTATTCCAGTTCTCCCTTTTCTTGTTTGTGGAAAGAACTATCTTCCTTTCCAGTTCACTTCCACTGTCATTTACAGTGGATGGATAAATAAAAACTTGTAAGAAAGGAGGTTATTAATGTTGGAGGTCACGTGTAAAGTGATCTAGTCCAATTTTTCTTCCTTAAGGCTAATTGGACATTTTTATTTAAAGCTTTGTGGGGTTGGTGTTGAAAAAATAATACGGAATATTATAAAATTGAAATAATACTAAAAGTGCCATGTAAATGTCAAGAACCTAAACACTGGCAAGTGGAATGAAGTAAATGTCAAGAATCTAAACACTGGCAAGAGGAATGGAGTAAATGCCAAGTACCTAAACACTGGCAAGTGGAATGAAGTAAATGTAAGAACCTAAACATTTGCCAGTGTTTAGGTTCTTACATTTACTTCATTCCTCTTGCCAGTGTTTAGGTTATTGACATTTACTCCATTCCTCTTGCCAGTGTTTAGGTTCTTCACATTTACTCCATTCCACTTGCCAGTGTTTAGGTACTTGGCATTTACTCCATTCCTCTTGCCAGTGTTTAGATTCTTGACATTTACTTCATTCCTCTTGCCAGTGTTTAGGTTATTGACATTTACTCCATTCCTCTTGCCAGAGGAATGAAGTAAATGTAAGAACCTAAACACTGGCAAGTGGAATGAAGTAAACAGCAGAACCTAAACACTGTGGATTGGAGTAAATGTCAAGAACCTAAACACGTAAAAATCTAGTGGTGGAAGGTGAATGGAATTCAGAGACTAGCCTCAAACATTAAGGTTGTGTTTGTTCTTTTATAAGTCAGTAACTTAATGATAAGAATCTTACAGTGTGTAGTTGAAAAACACTTAAAGCTCAAGCATTTTGAGGTTTATATAGAAATAACACACACATACACATATATATACACATGTGTGTACATTGCTCATACACAAATGCTCAAAGTTTCATAGTGGGAATTCGCATAAGTGTAAATTATGCAGTACACAGTATTGTAGTAGGGGAAAACCGCATTATAGGTGGACAATAACATAAGCCTTCACTTTTCTATTTCTTTGGAGAGATTAGACGAATTGAAGTTTAATATATTTAGTGTTGGTTATTTAAAAGTCTCTCTAAAACCAGTGCTGTGGCAACTACGACGGTTAAACAATACTTGTTGAGCGTAATCCAATATCTTAAACATTATATATTACTATACGTTTTTTTTTTCATCATTTTAATTCACGATTAAATTCAAAAACTGTAACAGAAGAAGCTGAAGACTTAGATTTTCTTGTAAGTTAAATTATCTTAACTAAACGTTTCTTCCATCCAGGAAGTGACGTTGTTTTTTCTAGCAGCAGAATTTGATAATATGTTGCATACTGAACTTCATAGCCTCGAGATGGTAATAGGGATCGTAAAATATAATTCTGTTGTTCAATGATAAAAATATTCTTACTATCCAATAAAAGCTTTAAGAAAACTTAACGCAAGGAATCGTTTTTTTTTGTTATATTTATTCGTTCTTTTGTATCGCTAATATATTGTTGTTTGAGCAAATAATATTAAAATTATCCTGTTAAATAGGTATGTTAATATTTGTGTGACTTAAATTGTAATTGAAAATGTGTATTATACGCTAATTTCCAAAATAACAACATATTTAATAGAATCATTTGCTTTGTTTCATTTTAAAGCGCGTTTTTATTTATGAATAAAAATATCAGATCCATCAAAAACGAATTGCGATGAAAATATCTAAAATTGGATCAAAAAAGGAGACTTAAATACAAGCTACCCAACCATTAACTAATATATATGGAATTCAAACTAATTTTCGTTGATAAAAAGCTAGAATACACTTACCGTGCTATTCGAGCACTGTACTTAAGTTTCACATTAAATGACTTCCTAAGAACATGTGTGTGTGTGTGTGCAGAATTTGGAAATTAAATTCTAAATGTAAAATCATAAATACAAAATTTATTATCTTAGTTTTCCTGGTTTTATTTAGAACACACCAAATAATAGCAGTCAGTTTAATCTACGGATAATCTCCTTTTAATAGCAATCAGTTTAATCTACGGATAATCTTCTTTTATTATCCGGTAATCAACCGTGTATTTATATTACGTGTTAACTAATCTAAACCTTATAATATAAATGTGTTTGGAAACATAATTATAGATTTAAGGAGCTAAATGAAGGGGGTTATTATATCTTGGAAGGTAACTACAGATTTGGATGAAAGATTATATGTACTGTCTCGGCTTGCGAAATTACTGTTAATTGATTTTAGAATTTTAATGAATATTTTTACTTGTGCTTAAATGCAAAGTGTATCATCCATGAGATCAGATTTGGTCGTAGGCTCATAAATAATTAATATTTAAGAATAAAATATAGTAACATGAATTAATGTCAGTCGGTGTTTACCTGTGCAGTAACGATCAAAGACTAATTGTTTTTTAAACAAGTTCATTACAGTATTGTCTGTGTTTCTTGGTTGTACATAACGTTCTGATCAGTGTTAATAAAAACAAGTTTAATCGTAGTGTTGTCTGTGTTTCTTGGTTGTACATAACGTTCTGATCAGTGTTAATAAAAACAAGTTTAATCGTAGTGTTGTCTGTGTTTCTTGGTTGTACATAACGTTCTGATCCAGTGTTAATAAAAACAAGTTTAATCGTACTTCACATTCATTCACTGAAAACACCACCAACAACAAAACATTAAATTACTTATTCGTGACATAATTTATTTTTAATTGTTTTTTGATAAGAATTATCTAAGCACATAAAAAAAAGACACTTTATTACGTTTTCTGTCGATGTGCGTTTACATTGAAATATTGACTAAATCTGCAGGAAGCTAATGTATCATGCCTAATTTAGTTTTATCCTCACCTTAATGCAGATTTTATGAGGTTTTAATTGTAGATGTGAATGAAAGAAAGAATTATTTCTTCGAGGAAAACAATTACACCGAGCATCCAAAGTTCGCTGTAATTATAATGTTAAACAGAATACGAATACAATCCATTCTTCAACGGTAACCAAACTTAAATAAGATAATGCCTAATTATATCAGTGTCATCTACATTCTTCAGAACAAGACTTTTTAAAACTTTACAAATACTTATCGAATTAGAAGCTTTGTATGTTTGAATGATATATATATATACCGTATTTTTCGGATTATAAGACGCACCCTTATTTTGAAGACAAAGTTTTGGGAGGAAAAAGCTACAGTCGCATTTGAAAGATTTTTATTGAACAAAATTCAATTTGATACTTTAAAAATT